CCTAGGACAGTGGTTTAAGGTAGAGATTTGGCAATTTGATATAGGGAACAATGCAGGGCATTTTCCCATATGGATCCCATTCATTCCTAGAGAGAGGTAAACATAGCCCTGATGTCATAATCAGATAAATTATGAGTGTCCTTTATTTTCCCCAAACCTCTGGGGAACAAAGGTCACACTGTACAGAGCTTAAATAAGAATGACATAACAGGTGAAAATGGGCCCATTGTCTGACCAGACCTTGTCTCTGTTCTCCACTGCCCCATTTTCCAGTTTTTCAGCTACACAGGAAAACTGGAAGCATGCTTAGAACTTTCCCCAACCTGCTCTGGATGCAGAGACCAAGAGGAAAAAAAAATAGAGCATATGCTTTCCCTTTCCTCTGTCCATGGAAGAAAGTAGCATGGAGAAAGTGCTTCCCAGAACCATTCCCGTGTCCCCCACCATTACCCCATCCAGAGAGGAAAGGGACAATAATGACAGGGAGATATGCCTGGATAAATATGGAATGACACCCCACTCCAACCCCACCCTCACCCTTCCCACACACACACACACACACACACACACCCTTCCATTTCTTCACAGCACTAGCCTAGGCGACACTGGAATAAGCAGGTCTCACCTCACCCCCTCTCCCTCTGGCACCCTAATCCAAAAACAAGTTAAGGAAAAGAACCAACAATAGTTGAGTAAGTCTCTGGATACCTGAAACATGCCTGCTCTCCTAGAAGACAGGACCTTTAAGGTAATTTCTAACTACCCCTGAGGGTGAAGCAACATTTAATCTTATGCAAGACTCTCCTCGGCACCTGTCTCCACCCACCTCATGCATCCCACCCTCTCATACATCGGCATATGTATATTCGGAAAACACTGTTCTTTGGTGAGATATACCATCTGTCTGCCATGCACTGTGTGTATAGGTCAGAACACCTTCAGTTAAACTCAAAGTCCTGTGAAGTCTACATTTTCCTACTCCTCTTAAGCTCATTCGCTCACTTAGTTAAAAAATAATGAGGAGAGCTAGTTCAAAGTGCTGGAACACAAACCTTTCGTGACGAGGCCTACATCTGATCCCTAGCACCACATCCCCCCCCCCCCCCCGCACCTGCTCCACACCTCGGCTCTGCTGGGTATAATCCCAGGTGCCCCTGAGCATCACCCATGGTGGACCTGGTGACCCTGGCGTTTCTGGGCCTATATAGTATCATGTCACTAAGCTTGAGCCACCAAGCCAGGCTTCACTGAGTATCACCAGCAAAGGCCCCCAGGACACCTAGGCACTGTTTGGGAGCCCCCTGCCACCTCCCACCCTTCCCCCCCAAAAAAATCTCATAAATCTATCAGGCACCACATGAATCCCTAGAAAAATATATCCCCTTCTATTTGTCCGAAATTGTCTATATATCTGAGTATAGTCATCTGCAGAAAAGTGTAAGTCCAATGAATACAGAACTAAATAGAAGGGGTTCCTGCTTAATAAGCTCCCGAGATCAAGAACAGCTTCTCAGAAGCAGTGGCGCCTAAGCTGAGCCCTGAAGCTAAACAGTGGACCATAAAAATGGAGGTAATGCTTGAAAAGTACATGGGGACTAGATCACAAAAGGCTCTTAAGTCACATTACCATGTTCAAGGTTTATCTTAAAGGTATTTTATTATTTTAGTTAGCTAAATGGCATAGTCAGATTTTTACTTTAAAGTGAACGCTTTAGTTATAATATAGTAATCATTCTATATAGTTGCTGAACACATAAATATCATGTAGCATAATAAAAAGTATTTCAGGGATTTAAAAATAAAAAGACAACCAGGCAACCTGTCATGTTATGGAGTTTGGTCGGACTCTTTAACATGGAGGATTGTGCCAGATCACTGTCACTGTCACTGTCCTCCCATTGTTCGTTGATTTACTCGAGCAGGCCCAGTAACATTGTGAGTCTTGTTGTTACTGTGTTTGGCAGTCGAATATGTCATGGGTAGCTTGCCAGGCTTTGCCTTGTGGGCAAGATACTGTCGGTAGCTTGCCGGGCTTTTTAAGAAGGGCGGAGGAATCGAACTCAGGTTGGGCAGGTCAGCCGCATTCAAGGCAAACGCCCACCCGCTGTGCTATCGCTCCAGCAGGAAAAGATTGTGATGGGAAATAGAAGTGCAAGAATGACCTTAAGTTAAGCCAAGAATGCACAGCAAATTCACAGGAGAGTTCACTGCTTTGTTTGGAGAGCTCTGGACGGGGTGGTGGAGACCTCGGCCTTGATATGTACGGCCTGACTGCCAGCCTCGCCTCCAGATACAGACTTCTTCACCACCGAGATCCTTCGTGGAATTTTAAACAGACATAATCCAAGTATTTCACTAGGAAGATTGACTGTGAATGAGAGAAGACTTAAAAGAAGACAAGGCAGCCAGGTGATGGAATATGCATGGGGTCGAGGAGATTCATGGCGTGTGTAGGTAGAAGGATCAGGAGACTGGTCGGAAGAGAGACACCTTCCTGGTGGTGTGAACAAAGGTTGCCTCACACGGTGGCCTGCCCCTATCTCCAGCCCCTGACAACACTCCCTGGGAGACGTACTTATCTTGATGGAGGCATTTCCAGAAGCTTAGTGTGGTGATCTGGACAATGAGGATCTTCCTCCTATCCAGTGTGTACACAGAAGAAGTCAGAGGTGAAATGTTTTGAAGAGGAATGAGGAGCAAAGAACATTTGAAGAATGATAAAAGAGCTTACAGGGGTCAAACAAAAGGCAACACGAGGCCATTCTTACATCCCCTATGTGAGGCACCCTGAGGAATTCAGACTGTGGGGGCTGCCTGGGTCTGGAGCTCCCTGGGAAGATCAGACCAATAGCCATTTGAGAGCTCTTGAAAGACTTCTCCCATTCTTGTTCATCTCAGCAATCAGAGCAGAACATCATAAATGAGGTTGTTCCGTTGTCTCCAGTTTGAACTCAACTCACTTTGTTCACCTGAAGCACCAATTCAACAATAATTAGGGATTCTAAGAAAATATCCCTCTGTCTCTATGTAGACTCTAGAAACCTCCCAGAATCCCCCCTCAAACATGCACAGTCCTATAGTCTATCCCCTGAGAAAAGCCAGCTGTATTGCAGCGTCAGGTGTACTTGTAAACAGATGTTGGTGAAGGTTCAATAAACAAACCCCTGGACACAAAACAATTTCTGTTTTCTCAACCTTTCAAAACGAGAAAATTGGCCTTTTCCCAATAGGTCCATATATTATCTATTCTACTTTGTTGCAGGTGAGAAACTGTAGTTGCATAGTTTTTAATTTGAATAATTTAAGATCTTAATGGACTTAAATTTTGCCCTAAATTGATTGTTTCCTGCCGGAGTAGATATGAATGCCAACAAATTAATAGATTCTTCTGGAATGACATTTCATCTGTCATCACTTAAGTGATGATTGTTGCTTACATTGGGACATTTTAGAAGATCAAATAGATGTTTATTAGGCCTGATTAAGTGATAAAATTCCCTGGGCCTCCCTTTGTTTCAAAGCAATTATGGGCTTCCTCTGGTTTCTTTTTGATGCCCACAGAGGCCAAAGAAGAGTGCTTGAATATGCAAACATGAAAACAGGGAAGCAAGGTGTCATCATACATATAATTTACCTATTGAGGCATCTGCATCTGCCTACTCATAAACTGAGAATCATATACTAATAAACTAAGCCAATTTTTCTAAATAATTTAGACACATCTCCAGTACTTTTGCCAGGGGGTGGGGGGTGGGACTTAGGGGTCTGGTCTTTTGTCCCTTTACATTTCACCAACATCTCCAGAACTGCAAGATAAGGCGATAAAAAAGTAAGTGCAGACAATGTGTGGGCTACAGATAGGGAGCTTCGAGCAAAAGCCTAACTGCTTTCCAGGCACATGACCGCTCCCGCTCCTACCTAGAAATACTGAAGTCAGCTCAGCCCTTTCCCCTGACAGGACACTGCAACCAGACAGGAACATGTAGGAAAGCGTTTGTTTTAATTTTCCAAACATCAATAGGACGTGTGTGCATTTCAGTTCTCCCCACATAGTATTTCACACCAGAAGTGCCACTAGAGACCTTTACTGGAAAACCTACCGAAGTAAAGTTTGAACCCTTCTGGGGACCCTACTCGGGTATGGCCAGGGTTCTTGAGTAATGTATGTTTTCACTAAACTAAGATAGTCCTAAGAAAAGATAATAATCAGTAATAATACTGATATTAGCAAGAAACTTAAGTGCTTTATCCTTAATGGTAAGGGAAAGTCAGTGCATTGGAAGACGTTAAATTTCCAAGAGTGGAGTTTAACAGGTAATATTTCCCAAACATTTAGGACCACAAAAGCTCTCTCTCTCTCTCTCTCTCTCTCTCACACACACACACACACACACACACACACACACACACACCATCTGCCGAAATATATATTAAACCAGAATCAGACCAGAAGAGAGAAAAGAAATCAAGGCAAGGCAGAAGCGGGGAGGAGCCAGTGTGGGGGAGAGATTGAAAGGACACTTGGCTCGTCCACGAATTTGAAAACCGCCCCATGCCGTTGAATGTGGTTGTGGGAATGTGGCCCTTTGACATAGAGGAGCACGTGCGAAGTTGGTCACTCCCGTAGCCCCAGCCGTGCCCCCTCGGCCCCGGGTGGGTGTCGCTGTTCTCCGTGCGTTCTTCCATGCGGACGAGCCTTGGCAGCCAGCTTTTGCCTAACTGGTCCCCGGGCGTGGGACGGGGCACCAGCCCCCCCCCCCCGGGCGGCCCCACGTGCGGAAGGGCCGGGAGCCCCCAGGACCTGCGTCCCCGCGGCCGCTCCTATCGGGAACGCGTGTCGTCCGTGCGTCCCAGCCCTTGACGGCCGGCCGCGCAGCGTTTTCTAGCAAACCGTCTCGCCCAGCGCGCGTGCGGCCGGCTCCCCCCGCCCAGACCTTGGCTCCCCTGCGCCCCCGCGGCCGCCCCGGGTTGCGAAAAGCCGGCGCCTGCCCTTTGCCTACCTGGTTGAAGTGCAGCTGGCCCGGGTGCGCGTTCGGGCCGGCCCCCAGCCGCTCCAGCAGCCGCGCCAGCTGCGGGGCCGACAGGCTGCGGTTGGAGCCGAACACGCCCAGCACGTCCTCGCTGAAGGCCTCCCCGGGCCCCGCCGAGCCCAGGCCGGCCGCGGGCTGCAGCAGCAGCGGCAGCAGCAGCAGCGCGGCCAGCGCGCGGCCCCGGCCCATCCCGCTCCGAGGCTGCCCGGCCGGCCGCGACCTGCCGGCCACCGGGGCCGGGCAGGGGAGGCAGGAGGCCCCCGCCTCCTGGCGAGCACGCGATAAGGAGGACAGAGGGGGCCGGCCCCGGGAGCCGGCGTGGACAGGCGCGGGGCCAGCTGTCCGGTGCCGGGTGCGTTGGCTCCGCCGGGCGTCCGGCCGTCCTCCCGCTGCTCGGCCCCAGGGGGCGCGGGGCTGGCTCTTAGGGCCCGGGTCCAGGCGTGGGGACACGGCCCGCCCCCTCCCTCTCCAGCCGAGCTTCTCGGGGCTGGGCCAGCCCGGAGCCCTCACCTGCCTGCTTCTGTCTCTGCGCCTGTGTCCACCCCGGAAAGCACCACCCCCCCCCCTCTCTCTCTGTCCCCCCCACCTCTCCGTCCCTCTCCCTCTCCCCCTCTCCCCCTCCCCAGCTCTCCCTATCTTGAACAATTCTGCTGCGGGACTTGGGGACCAGCCCGCTCCCTTTGCAGATAAGAGGAGGGCCCTATCCCCGCCTCTGCGCACGCACGTGGGGACACTCCCCTGGCCACACTCACCCCGCCCTCCCCTGTTACCTGATAGCCGGCTCCCTCCCTCGGGGTCACTGAGCTCAAGGGGGTCTGGGGTCGCCTTCCCACAATAGAGCCTGGAGCCCCTTCTCCATTGGCGAGCTTGGCAGGAACTGCGTTTTGTCCAACTGGCCCAATTCAGCTGTCAAGGAAACGGAATCGCAGCGGGCTCGCAGACGCTGCCCCTTCCTGTGGCCACGGCAGGGCGGTTGAGGGCCAGATGAGGCAGCCCCTTCCCTGGAGTGGTCCTGAAGAACCACAGGGCAGCCCACCAGGGAGCGGGCAAAGGTGGGCTGGTGGTGGTCATCGTGGAAAATAGAATGAGACCCAGGTCCCCAAGTGTCCAGGCCACCCTCCTTTCCCAGGGGAGTCTGAGGAGGAGCCAAGTGCGGCGGGGGGATGGGAACGTCCTCCGCAGGAAGGGAGGAAGGAAGAAGGCGGCAGTCACCAACGGGTATCCTGGAAGGTGCCCCGGAGCCTGGGAGGCTCAGGGGTGGGGGGAAGGAACGGCCCCACAGGGCCCAGTGGCAGGACTCCTGCCCAGGATGGAGCCTGGCCCTTGAGGTCGAGGTACAGCCAGCAGATGTGTTCACAGGACTTCCAGGCGTCATTGGTGCTCACAGGCAAATGCCTCCCCCACGTGGAAGTTGTGGCATGACCTGTTAACTACTGGTGGACTCTTTTCAGATTCAGGACCTCACCCATGGGTGTAGAGGGGGTCCCACTGGGCCCTCATTTGTAGTGGTTACTGGGCAGCAGTGAATGCCTCATATCATTCTTCTAGGCCAAAGGTCCCCAAACATATGCTCTGCTGCCCCTTTTCAGAAAAAAAAAATTACTCAGTGCTTCCTGAAAATGCACCCTTTTTGTTTGGGTTTTTGTTTGTTTGTTTTGGTTTTGGTTTGGGGCCATTCCCAGCCATGCTCAGGAATTACTCCCACCTCATTATTCAGGAATCTATCACTGCTGGTGGTGTTACTGGGACTGTGGGATGCCGGGGATCAAGGCCCATTCAGACACATGCATGGCGAGCACCTTCCCTGCTGTATTATCTCTCCAGCCCCTACAAACAGAAGCACCCCCTACCTCCCCCCACATTGCACAGAGAGGCCACTGCCGCCCTCCTGGATGAGTCCAGTGATGCAGTGAGGCATTGCCCACTTTGGGAAACACTGCTATATGCCTCACTAGTTGTTCATTGCCAGCTTGAACTGCAGCATTGGTGAGATGTTGACATTTCCACAAATTTCAGTGGATTTTAAGTAACAACATTTTACAATAAAAAAATTTCTGTTGACTCATAGTGAGATACACGGTTACAAAGTTGTTCATGATTGGGTTCCAGTCCTACAATGTTCCAACACCCATCCCTTCACCAGGAAGGGACGTCGTTTCCCACTAGCAATTGTCCCAGTATCCCTCCTGCCACCCCACCCCACTTTTCTTCTCTCTCTCTCTCTCTCTCTCTCTCTCTCTCCTTTTGGGCCTCATGGTTTGCAATACAAATAAAAAAAGGTTATCAAGTGCATCCCTTTACATACTTTCAACATTCTGTTCCTGTCCAAAAATGGTCATAGCCAACTATTATTGTCACATTGGTTCCTTTTCTATCCTAACTGCCCTTCACGCCCCACTCACTCTCGTGGCAAACTTCCATACAGTGTAAGTTTTGAAAACAAAATTTTATTTACCTCTGGGCTGGAGTGATAGTACAGCGGGTAGGGTGTTTGCCTTGCACATGGCCTACCCAGGTTTGATTCCTCTGCCCCTCTCAGAGAGCCGAGCCAGGCAAGCTACCGAGAGTATCTCGCCCGCACGGCAAAGCCTGGCAAGCTCCCGTGACGCATTCGATATGCCAAACACAGTAACAACAAGTCTCACGATGGAGACGTTACTGGGCCCGCTCAAGCAAATCGATGAACAATCGGAGGACAGGGCTACAGTGCTGCTTACCACTGTCATCACACAAATAATTTGCCAGACCATCAGTCCTAGAAGACAATGTACTATCAAAAAAAAGAAAAAGAAAAAGCTCTGCTTGGCAAGTATGCCAAATACAATTAACATCATGCAATTAAGAGAAAGTTTTCAGAAAATTGTAAGTTATTAACGACCAAGTTGGTAAAGCTAATCTCTAGGTTTTCTACCCAAATGAAATGAAATCACTGAAATATTAGTCAGAAAATGTTGTAGGGCCCAAGTACAACATTCTGTTAGCAATATCATTACTGAAGGAAAGAACTTTTAAATGAAAATGTTGGCAAAGTATAAATTATAATTTTTCTAAAAAGTTTGCCTTAATGTGAGATGATTGAAAGGAATAGCAATGAGGGTGGTGTGCACAGAGCAGGATGTTGAAAGGTGTCCTTAGCTTTCAGAGCAGTCACCTGGGAACAAACGGGGGAAGTCAGCTGACCTAAGCACCATTCACTTCCTGCAGCTATGAATAAGCGTGTTGGAGTAGAATGTCCAGGACCCATGCCAGGCCCTTTCTCTCTAAAGGTCTAATTTATAAATTGTCAATTGTTAGAATCAAGTGTGAAATATTTAGAAGAAAAACACAGGTTCAATTTTCCAGTTAAAAGGAAAACTGAGAGGTGCCTGCCTCTTGCTCCTCTTTTCCCATATGGTCCCAAAACCAGCGGATGGAACGGAAGCTCTGTCCCACTGCAGGAGAAACAGGACACCCTTGGAGGGAGTCCCTCTTTGCAGGATATTGGAGCCTGGACCAGACAGGACTGTCCACGGGGGAAGGAAGCCGGGTGGGCAGCTGGAGCCCTGCAGGCTGAACCAAGTACACAGATTAGGAAAGGCAGTGTGAGTCAGAGGGTGGTCCCTTGGGCAACACTCATGTCAGCCCCCAAACACAAAGGAAGCAGCATCCCTCCCCTCCCCCGCCCCAAGCAGAAAGAGAAAGTCAGCCAGCCTGTGGAGTGTCTTAAGGCAGTGCAAGGCCTGGAAGGGATGTGAGTGTCAGAGGGAACAGAGAGGCAGGGAGGTGTGAGCATCTGTGCATGGTGGGTGAAGGACAGGATGAAGGGACACCACACAGTGCGGCCGCAGGTGTATGAGCCTCTTCAGGGCACTGCTGATACTCATTTGTCTGAGGAATGTGGATTTGGGCTTCTTCCTGTTTCCGGCACAGCTCCTAAACCCCTTGGGAATTCCCCAAATGGTGGGAGCATTCAAAGAGTCTCATTGTTTCAGAGAGGTGACTTCTAGAAGAACTCCAGCTGGAGAAGTCTCTGCTCAAAGAATGTTCCACTTGATAGAAGGTTGGAACTCCACTTCCTAGCACCTCCCTTTGAGGGAACCAGGGCTGGAGGTCATGGCCAGTGATGTCATAGATCAGGATCATGACCACTCTCTAAAAACAGCAAAGTCGCACACTCTAGGGGTAAAGGCAGCTCAGATAGAGAAGGGAGCACCAAATAAAGGGTATTGGGAAGATCCGCCCAGGATGAGAGATGCATGCTGAAAGTAGACTATAGACTGAACATGATTGCCACTCAATGCTTCTCTTGCAAACCACAGCACCCAAAAGGAGAGAACAAAAGGGAATGCCCTGCCACAGAGGCAGGGTTGTATGTGGGGGTGGGGGTTGGGAGTGATACTGGAATTAGTGGTGGTGGAGAATGGGCATTGGTGGAGGGATGGGTACTCGATCATGTATAACTGAAACCCAAGCACAAAAATTTTAAGTCTACAACTGTACCTCATGGTGTTTCACTAATAAATTTTTTTAAAAAATAAAACAAATAATTAAAAACGGCAAAGCACAGGGTCTCGGAGCCTTGGTTGGGGTTAGGGTGATTTGGGCAAGTGGCCCCTAGAGAGAGAGCACCTTGCCCTGCACTTGACCAGTCGCTGCTCTCGAGTCCTGCCCTTGGACAAGCTGGAGATGTAGTTAGCTCCCAGCATCCCGGACCCTGTGAGCCGCCCCAGAAAAGGGCAGGGAACCCCCCCCTCCTGGGACATGGACCTCCTCGTCTGTTGCTGGTTGGCCAGAAGCACGTGTGACAACCTCAACTTTTCTACAGTGAGGGGTGGGTGGTGCCGTCTGTGGGCCTGAGTCCCTGAGCTGTGGGACTTGATCTCAGGGCAGGTAGTGTAGGGGTTGAATTGAACTTGGAGGACACCAGCATTTGTCTGTGAGAATGGTGTGGACATATAGGAAACACAGCCTCCCACTGTTGGAATGTGGGTGCAGAATTATAGGGTATCAGAACCCAAAGAAAAGAAAGAAGTCCCCAAGGAAGGAGATGAGTCTAAAAGTAGATCAGTTTTCCGTAAGAGAATTGATTCAATGAATTCAGTGCTAACTAGATTAGATAGCAGCAGCCAGCTTTCATAGGAAAGGGAGCTGAAAACAGGAAGACAGAACCCTGGAAAGAACTCTGTGTCTGAGGGGAACTGGAGGCATCCCAGTAGATTTCTGGTTTTCCGAATTGAACACACAAAAGTAATAGAATTGCGAGTGATCCCTGCCTCCCTGCACCTGCAGGGCCCGGGACATACCATAACAGCAAGGACTGCCCGGTGAGCCCAGTGCTGGGCTTCAGAAAATGAGTCTCCGCCCGAAGGGACTCTACAAAGAAAGGCTGACTCCAGAACAGAGCGGCAAGGAACAGGATGACCTGGGGACAAGGACGCAGTTCAAGAACGTAGGAAATACTTCTGAGAGGATTCTCAGATAACGGAGCATCAGATCAGCAACTTCCAACTCTCACTGAGCCTGCCTGCCACTTCTCTGTAAATCTGTAAGAACATGAGTG